ATGAAACCGAATCATAGGGATGCACCGGCAGAACGCAACTCTTTCATGAGGAGTATGCTCAGGGAATCGAAAGCCCCCGAAAACCATGCAGATAATGGAGCTCGGTTTAATGCTTCATCACGAAACAATGCAATCATGCAATCATTTCTTGAATCCATACCCTATGAGCACGTACAAGAACTGTGCCATGCTGAGCCATGCTGTGCCACGCGGCCATGGAGAACAATCCCAGGCTGGACTTGATTCCACGAAGGTCGGCCTGCGCAGGGTGCGAACAAAGATGCCTTGCCCAGTGAGCTGTGACATGCTGTGACAATCGGACAAGGCATGAGCCATAGCAACACGTTGTTCACAGCTTTTGCTCCCACATGTCTTAGTTCTTGCAAAACGACAGAGACCACTCCTGAGCCACATCTACGGCCATTTCTGGGTAAGACCATGCGCCTGACTTGGGAAGAAGAACCTAGTCAACCCATCTGTGCGTGGATGCGCTGACGAGACAGTCAGGCAACTTGGGGGTGAGGGCCTGGGACGAAAGCTAGTTAAGGTACCCCCACGGAAGAGCTTCCGTCAACATGGCATCAACTACGCAGAAGGACAAGCACACGCAAAGGCAGCAGGTCGTGTCACCTTTTTTCTGGCGCAGGTGCCAATATTGACGTGGCATTCCTTCTGGCAATGTGTTGGTGTGTTGCTTTGCTCTGCGGTGTTTTGGCATCTTCCGGAGGGCTCTTTTTTGAAACGCATGACACCACAACAGATGTTGCACTTACCAGGGGAACCTGTCCAATCCAGCTTTGAGGGATGCCTGACTCAAGTCAACATCAAGGCTTCTGAGTCTTTTCTTAGGGGGCTTTTCTGTTAGCATCTTCCGGAGGGCTCTTTTTTGAAGCGCATGACACCACAACAGATGTTGCACTCGCCAGGCGAAGTCTGAAGTTTGTCCAATCCAGCTTTGAGGGACGCCAGACTCAAATCAACATCAAGGTTTCTGAGTCTTTTCTTGGGGGACTTGGGGGGCTTTTCTAGGGCCTGGGATCCACAGAAAACGGCGTTAATTTGCACCCAATATACGAAAGAAATGAACGCCAGCCCGTTTCCCCAAAACCTGTGTTCGCCACCCGGAAACCGACCGGGTTTGCTGCGTTTTGTGGCGGAGCCTCCGGGGGCCCTGTATACCCTTCAGGTTGTCAGCTTCGCTTAGGTAAGATACTCCGCTAGCTCCTCAGGGGCTAGCTTTCGTGATCTAAGTTCTCCCAAAACGCAGCGCTAGCGCGGATGTGCTAAATCACCTCTATCACCTGGAACCATACCTAGACGGAAATACAATCCCGGCTTGGGCGACCTACTTTACATCTCATGTAAAGTAACAGTGCCGCTCAAATACTAGCCAGTGTACACTACACATCAATAAGAGCCCATCGGGGCCCATCATTGACAAGCCTCGCAGTGAATGTAGTCCCCAGCGTTGATGGCCAGGTCGCCCCCGGGTCGTGAAAGCCAGGGACCATCGTCCCGGGACCTACAAAGGACTGCCGTCAGTGTCTCTCTCTGTCAGTGTGCGTGTGCGTGTGCGTGCGTGCGTGTGTGTAGTTCTGGGTTTGGTGTGTTTGCGGAAATTGCCGTCGTGGGGCTGAGTCGGGGATTTGAAAAAATTTGATTTGAAGCGCCTGGAACCCCAACTTCAGAGATGCTCCCAAAATCAGAAACAAACAAAAAACCTACTGCTCCTGGAGATATAGTAGATCTGGAGCGCCAGAGACACCCAATTCAAAGCGAAGTGACAGATGGGACGGGTCCTTTTCCTGCCCTATACTCTGCCCAGTCCGCGGCCTCCAAACCCAACTTGAAGTGAGGTACCCCTGCCTAAGCCAGGACTCCGCGAACACTCCTAACATCTCCTAACAACACAGCAAGAACAGTGAGCAGGACAGAATCTTGCGGGCGACATCGCTTTATGTCCCGAGAGCTTCTGCAAGCTGTGTCCTTCCGAACTTCAGAACTTCAGGAAGGGCCTGTGTGTCTAAGCGACAGGCATTTTCTACAAGACCAGGTTCTGCGCGTCGGTGCGAAACACTGTGCTCAGAACGCGTTCGTGCCGACTGAACTTGTTAGCGCGTCCCTTCTGCCATCTGCGAGTGGTATTGGCATGTAGAGGCCAACCAGAGATCCTCACAGAAAAAGCCTTCCCCGAAAAGAACGGAAATCTCAACACTCACCCAGCCTGTAACCCCAAATCCACCCAAACGAACGCATGGCAAAAAGGAGCCTGCAACCCCAAAATGCCCAATACACCTCTAAAACTTGTAAACAATTGAGAGAGGGGAGCGGTGAACGCCTGCTACACCGCAAGGTGCTTACCAGCCGCCAGGGCCTCGCCTCGATCGTCTTTTTGAAACTTTTGGGACTGCGGGTCAAGGCTGCTGCGAAATTTCGGGATGCAAGGTTAGGTTGAAGCCCTGGCGTTTCTCTGGGGGTGGGGGGGGGGGGGGGGGCAGACTTACTGGGACTTGTTGTGACTTGGCACGGGTCAGCAGCTTCGAACCCCTTCGACTTGAACTTGAATCCCACAAAAACTTCATTTACGCACTCTCCGAAAGCCCATACCTTGTAGCCACCCTCCCGAGATAGGACGCATCGGCTCGCGGCTCGCCCTGCTTCGCACTGAATTCGTGTGGAAAAATCAAAGCAGCGGGCAACTGCCACCAAGAGTGGACTGTCAAGCCATACGTCAAAACACTCACACTTCCTGAAAAAGTCCCCCCCCTCCACACACGCCCAACCCAGAAAGAAAAGGCAACCGCAGAAACGAGACCCTGGCGTGGTCGATGCCTTGAATGCCGAAGTGCACCTCGCTAGCGAATCCGAAAGCCGCTGCGACTTTCAATTGCAACTGTGCAGTTTTTGTCGAAAGGTAAAGAAGGGTTTGGTGGCATTTCACGGGATCCAGGGTGTCGGGAACTAGAAGTTCGATGACCCCTGCAACGGCTAATGTTCACTGTCATTCACTGTCTTTCTAACCCCTGAATCCCCAACCCGAGGACCTGCGGCCTCTCCGTGCACTGCTGCACCTCAGCGACTTGACCCATCGGGAGATTCGAGGAATATTGTCGTCTTCGGTGTGATTCGCATGCTTCCTTGAGTTGACATCTTCCGCGTTTTCTGGGGCCGCGACAATCTGCAAGGTCCAAAGGTACAAGCCGCCCGCAGCCTGAGGGTGTGCTCGGCATGTAAGGGCACCCGTGTCATCATGTGGATGGATCCACACTGGCATGGCGGTGGCATGAGGCCACCGCTGGCATCCCCTTCAGCAAAGGATAACCTTTGCTTGAGTGTAAGCTTGCCCTGAGCCTGCGGCCATCCGCATGGTTCCTGTGATCGGTAGAGCGTTGGAATCCTGACAGGGGCGCCGGGCGTGCCACTCAAATACCCACCCAAAGAAACAGTAATACGAATGCTTCCATAGCATCACACGACAGCCAAACAAGCGAGGCTGCACCTGATTAATTGCAAGGGACAGGCTTCTCTGCTCAGACCTGAATCCCCATAAGCTATCAGGAGCTGTCACTGTAAGGCGGTACATGAATCTGGCCTGGTAGTGGCCCGTCTTCGTCACGAGCTCGCCACAGGCTCCGGAGACCTGGCGAGACAAGTCGTAGCAGTTGTAACCTGAAGGTCGTGGGGGAAACCTTGGGGGGTTTTGGACGTCAGGCGCGAGATGGTGTTGGAAGCGACGCCTTGAAATTGGAGCCACTGCACATCACTGCACTACTTGCCCCCCAGAGGGCGCCTTGGGATGCAAACGTGCGCAAAACCGCCCTCCACTTGTGGCTTCCACCCTCGCTCAAGCCTCGAACTCAGTGATCCGATCGACAGTCGGGACCTTGCACGACACAACCCAACTGCGTCCCGCGTCCCTGCTAGTGTTTTGGCAGGGGTGGAGGTAGCAGGGCCGACGAGGCGAGGATGACAAAAGTCCCAAGTCCCTGAAGCTCTCGATCACAAACCCCCGCCTGCCTCCTCACAACCCATCCCATGTGGTTCGAGAAACCTAACTCCGACATCTCTCAGGTCTGCACCCAGTAGAAGGGCGGCAAGCCGCGTGGCCTTCTCTCGGAAACGCGGGCCTTGCCGAGATCTGTTGTGCTTTGATCAGGCTGTGGTGACCACTGAGTCGGCCTTATCTTACGAGTGAGGCACAGCTACCGGGAACTTGCGAACTGAGTCTGTAATTGTGGCAGGCTCCCTTTGCATAGGGTTGGCCTGTTGAAGGTCTACAGTCAGTGTTATGGAGGCCACATATGGAGCCTGCACGGCTTACTGCCTCTGAGCTGGGGAGGAGCAACAATCTCTACACCAACGCAGCTCGCCAAAAGTCCCGCCGAAAGTCTCTCGCACGTTTTGTGTGCCGAACCTGCACCGCCTGAACCCTACGGTCTTTCACACACTTCGGACATCTTCGGACCGGACGGCCCTTGTCCGTTCCCTTTTTGCTGGGCCACTCGCCTGGGGTGGCCTCATGGAACCAGGCCTTGGTTTCTTTAGGAAGTAGGAGTAGGACCACGAAGTTAGGGTTTAACACAGAATCGCACCTGACAAGGAGAGGCAGGGGGCTAGCGGTTAGGGACGTGAGGTTTCGGATTCCACGGTTTGCTGCAAACGTGTCATCAATCTCTGACGAAGAGGTAAAGGAAACATCCAGTTCAAGTAGAACCCTACGACCTCAGAATGCTTTTATCTTTGCCACCCTCTGAGGCCTACGCTGCGTGACTGAATCGGACGGCCGCCTGCCCAGCGATGTCGTCACCGTGAACCCCAACACTAGGCCAGCAGGTGCCACAGAACACCAGGTACCAACCACCTTGAACCTCTGGAGCCCTTTCCACATCTCAGTGCGCGCCCTTGTTTTCTCTTCCTGCTTCAGGTCTGGGCTTGGCAAGCTTGTCTCTCCTTGAGCGTGAAGCGAGCTCCCGAGAGAAGCTCAGGGACACTTCCTCCCTTCAAGTGCTAAACGCGCCGGCATCAAACTTCTCAAGCGCCTCCATCCTCGGGGTACGGAGATTCACCATGTGTGCGGGCGCTGCAATTGCAAGAGTTTGCTCTGTATGCTCAGTAGTTTTCAAGGATCTGCGTACTGACGAAAGGGTCAGTGGCAAGTGAGAGCACCGTTTTGGTTTCAGGTCTCGAGGGATCATCCGAAGGGTATCCGGAGGACGTTCTCCCCTCACGCCATCCCAAGCCCATGTTCCAACCCAACATCGCCGGGGTCGGATGACAAAAGACGCCAAGTCTCAGGGCTGGCATCCCCTCTCGGAACCTCGATTGGAATTTGGGTTCTACAGTGACGAAGGCGTGCAGCGTGGGCACAAAGCCAGGAGAAAGAAACGACGGGTCCCTTGTCGTGACTGCACAAAAACTTTCTCTGCTGGCTCCAAACTCATGAGCACACCATCCCCAAACCGTATAGCTCGCTGCTTCTTATGTCTAAGTAATGCTAGATACCTCGTACACATGTAAATACGTCTTCGTAAACTCAAACCAAACGAAACCTGGTCTATAGCTCAAGGACTCCTTGCAGTCGTTACAGCCCTTGATTCACCACAACCCTAAACCCTAAACCCTAAACCCTAAACCCTAAACCCTAAACCCTAAACCCTAAACTGCGAGGCAAGGGGCCGCTGGATGCAGGCCACGCCCACGGCCAGCGCGCTCTTTTCCGCAGCGGCCTGCGCCCCCACCGATGGCTGCTAGAGTCATTGACTCTCAGATAGAGTCTCATTGAGTCTAGAGTCACTGGCCCATGTGCGCACACACATGCGGGCAGACACACGCGATGTTCATGGGGCTCATGGGAATGAGGAAATGCAAGGCAGCCCTTCTCGATGTTGACACGCTTCTGTCCCTGCTCTTCGCACAAGCGCACATTTCTTCTACTAGTAGATACCGGTAGCCTTGCCCTTCCCATACAACAATAGCTCGTCCAACTGTGTGTAAGCTTGCGCGCTGCCATGGCCAATCCAGCCAACATTCTCTGTTGCAGAGACAGCCTTCAGTGCTGCGTCCTCAGGAAAGTGGATCCAGAACCCCATGAAAGGCAGATAGTGCATTTTAGACAGCTGCAAATACTTCATCATGCAGAAGAAGCAATGATATCTCATTGTCAGCACATTCCCGTATAAGCCCCGTGTTTGCTCTTCGTTGCTGCTGGCTTGTCCTCAAGCCGCAGGGAACGCTCGTAGGCCAAGCCCAGCGCCGTCCGGGCGATCTCACAGCCCGCGAAGGCCACGGCTTCTTGCTCAGTGGACCTGACAAGTCACATCAAGAAATGCATGACGAGGGGGTAAGGGCTTCAGGAAAAAGCCTGCTGGATCAACTTTGCGATGCGTACATTGAGCCGTTCTGCCTCTTCTGGCACGCAGTTTCAATTCGAGCTTGTGCTCGCTACGCTTGCAGCGTCATCATGAGAGATGTGCCTTACAGGCCTTCTCCCCCCCTCTAAGTCGGCGTTGTTCAGTAGGGCAATGGCTGGAGCATGCTTGGGCCAGTGCTCTGGAAGTACTAGTAGGTGCTATTGCAATGAGGGAGGTCTCGCATGATTTCATGCTGCGGACTGCACCATTGTTGCGTGCAACACTGTGGGCTTATATATCGTGGGGGATCATGTACGTATTGTAACTGGGGAGAGGAGATCATGCCATAATTCGCGAGGATTCAGGCCTCAGTCCGGGCGAGAAGTCTTGCAGAAGCCTGCTAAATTAAGTAAAGAAATAATAATAAAACAATAGCTTTCGGTCTTGACATAATTTGGCGTATACTTGAACGTGGGATTGGAAGCGGTGGGCGCCCTATGGCACATCTCTCATGATGACGCTTCAAGCATGACGAACACCTGAAGCTCGAGTTGAAGGCAGGCTTCAATGTGATTCAACCGCCATCCGGACGCGTCACAAACTTGCTCCGGTAGGCTTTGTGCTGAAATCCCTGTGGCGGAACTGCAAGCCTAGGCTTGGCCTCGTCTTTGTCAACCAAAATTATGCCAACCTTCCTGAAAAACGAAATAACCCATCGTATGGAACTATCAGAAATAGTGCAGCCTTGGGACTTCAACAGGTCGGCTGCAATGCCTGCAGCCTCGGATGCCAGAATCTATAGCAACCTTCTCGACCCCCCCCCCCCCCCAAACCCTAGTCAACAAACACGGCGCATTGCGGCCGTGTAGCCCCAAAGCTACATTCCCTCAACTGGTGACGCATCCTATGCTTCTGCACGGGACCAAAAATTTGCTCTTGCAACTGACCTAAAAAAGGCCACGGCTCACAGTATACATCTTGCCACAAGGAACTGCGAATCGCACGATTCTTGATGATCTTGGGCCCTTCCCCTTATCTTGGTGCGACCTTCATAGCTGCGAGGTAGGTCTCCCAGATCACGCGCATCGCATGCAGAAGCTCCTCCCGGGCCCTTCCCAAGATCTTTAAGCCCTTGATTGGAAGGAAGCACCTGAATCTCAGACCGTCGGGCTAGATTGTCTATATCATTGTCATTCAGCCTCTGGATTTTGTGGATGGAACAAGGTTCAGTGAAAACCAGGCATCCAAAAACCATGACAGTTCTGCATTTGGTGAACACTGACCTCTACGGGCACCGCGAGCGAGGCCCGCGGTGCCCGCTGTTTGGGGAACAATCCCAAAACAAACTCCCCGACGAGGCTTCCAGACCCAAACCATAAAGGGAGGGCAGAAACAAAGTTTTCTCTCTCCAGCCCCCGCCCCCCCTCGCAAATTCAAAGGCTTCTTATGCTATTCTGACTCTTTCCTTAAGCAGTCGAGACCAGACTCCAGACTTAGAAATCCTCATCGGCAGAGCAGGTTTAAGTTTAGGATGGCTTGGGTTGCAAAGGCAAGGTTAAATTCAAGAAGCCCGGAAGAAGCAACGAAGACCCGCCCCACACCCAACCTTCAGCATTGCGTCCCTTGTCCGGCAAAAAAACTGTTCAGACTCCAGACCCCAGAGCCCTGACTCAGTATTCAAAACCTCAGAGCACTATTCGAGATCCAGCCCTGCCAGAGCCTGAAAGCCATTCAGTTTGATGTTTTTCAAGCTGCCCCCTTCCGTGCATGGCTTCGGGTGGGTGGGCGGTTAAAACTTGAAATCCTGCATCCTCTACATGAATCACAAAGCAGAATAACCACTTCGTCCTTCTTGCAGCTGTTCTGCAGGGCGCTGTGGAAACCTGAGAAGCCGCGACTTCTGTGTGGCTTCAGGCAAGCGAGGCGTGCCGTGCTTGTGAAAGGTTGGCATAGACTGTACTCTATACATAAACCCGCAAGGCTTCTAGGGCAAGCGACTGGAACACCCCACACACACATCTTTCACGACTCAGCGCAATGGCTTTCTCTGACAACTGCCGATTTGCCTCCCAATCAACTCTTGGGCTGCATTGCAGCCGACCTGCTGTCACGATTCCACCAGCACTAAGGTCATGGAGCTAGATTTGCAACAGTTCTGGGACGCACGCGCGCTTGTTCTTTTTCTTTAACAAGTGGAGCCTTCAGCCCTCCAGTGCACTTAGCTTTCGGAGGGGCTGCCCCAAGGGGCATGCTCCACTTAGTTAGTCAGGGTGATACTGGTGCTTGATGACTGATTTGCACCCCTCTCTCTTCTTCTTCTCCTTCTACCCAGCGAAGAGGCCCCCCGAAGGTGGCCCCGGCCGCGCTGGCCCTTTCTTCTTCTTCTGCAGGGCATGCCTCGGGGGACCCCTCTCTTCCCCGTTGCGAAAAGCCCATGGGGGTTTGTGTTGAAACAGGCAGCACAACAAGTTATTCGCACCCAGTATGGCCCCTCTCTCTCTCTCTCTGTGTTTCTTTCGTGTCTGCGTATATATGCATATACGCATGTGCATGACGGGTGCTCTGTCTTAGCCGCTGACTCTGAAATAAACAAAGAACACTTAAGAACAGCAAAGAACAACAACAAAGAACCGAGCCGGGATGAGCCGGGGCTCAGTAGGCCAGCGCGTAGGTCGAGAGCAGTGAGCCGACATCCAAGCCAGGTGGTCCGAAAACGGCAAACTCAGGGTCGATGATCTTCACCTAAAATGGAACTATGCTGTGGTCAGGGGCATACAGGTAAAAAGCTCGAGGTTGGGGCCTCGACTCTCGAAGCAGGGGATTGGCTCATCGTTTGGGGTACACTGGTGCAGTACCAAGCTCAACCAGCATTTTTCGACGAGTGCCTTCAACACGAAATTCTGTGAATTTGGGTTCTGGATCATGTGGGCTGAGGGCCCCCCGCTAAGAAGCAGCGTGTGCAGTTCAAGTTCATGTGCCCCCTTAGGAGCCATGGTTGGACATCGCCGATATTTCGCTGCGCAGACATGTTTCTGGCCAAGAGCGTGTTGGCGTCAAACCCTGAGCTCTACAACGGCTCGTACGGCCAAGTCGGACTTCATACGTCACAGGAGCATTTTGGAGAACCCGTGCTGCTGTTGAGGCCCTGTTACACTAGAACGCAAGCCGCCGAGAAAGGACCCGACTGGCGACCTCAAACTGATCATCGACGGCAGGTGACTGCTGCTGATCGGTCATCCACCTGGGCAAGTTCAAACCAAAGCGTTTTTCGGGAGCACGTGCTGCAGTCTGAAGTGGCCTTGCATTGGGGACATGCACCTGCACATCGCCTTGAGCTTTTCTAAAGTTCAGAGAGATGCTGCGTTCTCATGTTGTAGGGGCCAGCCATGGCACTTTCACAACAAGAAAATTACTGAACAGCCCCCAGGCAGGCAGTATAGGATCTTGTCCCAAGCCAATTGCCCCAGAGACTACATCCAACCCTTCAGCACCACTGGATGACTGAGGCCTGTCACCCGATCCTGCTTAAAAACGTACATTTGAGGACAAAAAGCCTGGTCGTCACAACCAGAACGTGACGCAGGCGCACGAGTTCAATGGGCCCAATCGCACCCACTAAGCACTGCCAAGTGACCATCACACTCCCTGCGTGAAGATCACCATGGCAGAGGGCCAAATTGCTGGTCACGCTCCCATTGTAGATGTCCTGCGGTTTCGAAAATTCGGTTTTGCCACGACTATGTCGACAGTCTTGCCATGTCTTGCTCCACAAAGGCCCATATCCCTGCCCACCCCAGGAACCTCTAGTTTGCTGGTTTCGGGGTTCGAGTTCTTTCTTTTGGCCTTTGCGTCCTTGATCGCCTCCACTTGCGACATGAAGGCGGCATCGGAGCGCAAGCTCTCCTACGTTTTTCAAGTTTAGACTTTTGCCAGCATCTCGGAAGCTGTAAAGGCCTTTGGATGCTGAGGAACACCTATTCTTGGCGTGCCCATGCGTGCCCTCTTCCTGCAACTCTCTGGGCAGCATTGAATTTGCGGTTTGCAAAGTTTGCAGGGAAGGCAAACCACGCGTCTGAGGCCGAAGTGATCCTCAGGCCTCAAGCCTTCGGGCGTGACGACTATTTCTCAGGCAAGGTGCTGCGCGTGCGTCCTCCCGGTAGCACTTGGAGAACACAAACCTCTGGCAGGGTCCGAGATTTCATGGCATTGTGAGGAGGATGAAACATAAAATTTTCCCCCGAAGCTCAACCTATAGGTACGTTGATTCACATCCCTCACGGACATGTGTGGTCACCATCTGTGCAATGCAGTGACCCAGCTTAGTGACCCAGCTTCAGGAGGCTTCATGGGGCGAGCACACTCTTCCAAACGAGGCCTGGCAATGACGTAAGTGCTCCCTACGCCTGCGCCGCACATCACATTAAAACCCTTAAAGATGACTCCGAGGCTCTCAAGCTGGATGTCCCGCATCAGGCCTGAAGACTCGTGATGCCTGTGTGACCCTGTTTCGAATAGCCCGAGTAAAGGAACAGAAAACGACGTGTAGCAAAAACTAGCAGCCGCCATTGCCAAGTTCCCGAATGTACCTACTCAAAGCAACTGCGCCAAGATAAGAAAGCACGATGGCCCACAAGCAACTAGGCATGTTGCGGAATGCAAGAAGAGTGCTGACTCAAAGCTCAGGGGATATTCGCTTTCTCAATGATGCTGGAACCGGCTAGAGCCTGGCTTAGAATTTAGGGAAGTAAATCCGGCCCAGAACCATTTCCAGCAGAGCCTGAAAGCAAATCGACGCCCGTATTGCATATAGAACGCAGGAAATACCGGATCGACATTCGACGTGCAGATCTCCAGGTAAGGGGCGGTTCTCGTAGGCCGCTGATAGCCGCTGACACTCCTCTGCCGAAATCTTTGAGCAATGAGTCCTGCATCCGCTGCACCCGTGTTCGGGGTCGCAATACAACTGACCTTTCGCACACCGGGAGAGCGCTCTTTCCCTCTCCCCCCACTCTTCAAAGTCGTCTTCAATGCCGTCAAGTCAATTGCCCCTTTGATTGTGGAGTTTCGTCTGTGGCTCCTGCTGTGCATCTGCGCCATGCCTCGGACACGAGGGCATTGCGCGGAAGCACCCCAAACTCGCTGGTAGGGCGATCAAACGGGATCAAATGATCAAATTGTGAAAGCCTGAAGCCTGCTGCAGGGGCCCTGAGATATCATAAAAGCCCTGGTCGGGGATTGTCGGGTTACTCGGTTTGCTTCCCCAGGTTTGTCCCACTCCAAGTCCAGTAGTCCGAAACTCCAAAGACTACCCAGGCCTATCTAGGCCCAGCAAGTGTTAAAACAACCAGAGAGCATCCAAGTGGCAGTCGCCCAGCGATCTTGCCGCAGCCTCCTCGACATGTCCCTGTGGAGCAGATGCTTAACAAAAAATATAAGGAGACGAAAGGTACCTTGCTCTCGTTGTAGTCTGGTAAAATCAACCCTTTTTAGGCTGGCCGTCTGTGCTCAAAACATGCGAGTTCCACGTTTGCATGGTGCGCTCCCAGCCGCTTCATCCCTCCGATGGAGAAGTATTCCACACTCTCCAAGGAAACCGCTCCTCTACCGCTCCTCTGGGAATTCAGGGGGATTGAAACCTAACGGGCTGAAGGCTTTACCCAATGAAAAGCTTAACCCTCACGCCTAAACCTGAATTAAGTCCCCTCAAACCCTGAACCCGAAATTTCAGACCACCATCCCTCCCTTCCTTTTGGTACTGAAGTTTGAAGACTTGAGGCTTGCAGTGAAATAGATTCTTTTCCGCTGGACCAAGCACACAATATACCCAGTAGGCTGAACAGCTTCTGGGCTCCAGGATTGCGTCAAAGTGCAGGGTAATATCCAGGTGTTTTCGCACTCAAGTTGGAGGATTGTGCTTTATAGTGTAGGCTTGAGCTGGGTGCGAATTGCGTTTTTTTGCAGCGTATTCCGGACTCCATCGATTTCCCATGTCTGGCATGCTTGCAGCTTTTCTTCCGTGCATTTCGGCCTGCATCGTACTTTGCACGTAACAGCACCCTAATCCTGCTCCGTGTGGTGTGCATCCTTCATGTTCTTTTTTTTTTTTGCCCCAGGACAACTCTCAACATGCGGGGCTGCGAATCGCATTTTTCCAGAGATACCGGCCTCTCTCGTGCGTTTTCCCATGGGAAAGTAGTCAACATGACGAACACGTGAGATGAGAGGCTCACGAGTCTCACCCCTAGCCCTAAGCCAATCCCGTGCTATAATCTTCAAACAGCATTCGAAAGATCCCGTTTTCTTATATGAGAGCAGAGCAAGGGCGGGGTGCCTGAAGCCATCAGAAGGAAACATTGATCCGTGGATGGGAAAGTCTAGGAGTCTTAGCGAAATATCGAGGAAGTCAGTGGCTAATAAGGATTCGACGCGCTCTACTTTTTGCGGCTCTTCAGCAGCTTTCGGTCCTAAGGGCAACATTTAAAACCCCACCTAATCGTGTACATCTCGGCGCCTCGAAAAGGCGCTTCTGCAGTAGCTCGTGGCTGTCCAAGAGCTCCATGATGAAGGCCATGGCTTCCTCGTCAAACCTGAAAGATGGGAGAGTGTCCATCTACGTGCAGCACCTGGAAAAGCCCCAAAGCCCCCAAGCCTGGGAGTAGCCTTGGCCTAGCTTTAGCCTAGCCTTAGCCTAGCCTTAGCGTGCAAGCAAGAACCCAAAACTTCTGCGCCTAACTCTCCACCGTCTGACAGGTTGCGGGCCACTAGCCAAGTTGCTTCCACACACGCGGGAAATACGTGGCGGCGACCGATCCTGCGTATGTCCATACTGTGCAGAGCAGCTCGCATTAGAATCATTAGAAGTGGATCTCAGCTGCTGGATGCCAAGAAGCCATGCGCCGTCCACTCTGTATACACCTGCACCTGCGCTGCTTGAGGGCTTGAGGCCTGAGAGCCTGAGAACCTCAACGACGAGGCGTCGCAAACCGCTGGTGTTCTTGAAGTGTGCTTGGTTGTTGCAAGCTGCAGGTGTCGAGCCCAGTGCCTTCCAGCACCTTGAAACCTTGTGGAACAATTCAGGATGTCGTCTGGAGCTGAGGGCCCCATGCGAGGGTTCTGTGTAGGGTCTGAACTCCCTGCGCGCACGGAACCCGGCACAAGAACACCCCTCTTTTCCATTTGGCACCTAAAAGGAGCAGGGCAGCCTCGAGGCGCATGCGCTGGCGCGTAAGAGCGGCTGCAGGTCCCAAGACCTGAGGGTGTCAAAGACTTAAAAAAACAACAGAGGCACCCCTTAATACTTAAGAGCCAAGGCCAAAGGCAATGGCCAATGGAAGGGGTTCTCCGATTTCGAGCGGCGGAGCGCAAACATAAGTCCTTTGATTGTAACAGCTTCATGGAAGGCCCGAGAATGGCGTAACAAAGGTGTGGGGCTTTGACATGCTCAATCCACCTTGATGTAGTCGGGCGCTTGCTTCACGAAGACGCCTCCTCCCGCAGGGTCGCGGACGGCAAAGGCGTAGTTGAGATTCCCACCTGCACCATCCAGAATCGCCCTTGACTTTGCAAGGCAGGGGGCCTCAGAACCTCCCATGTTTACCTGGGAACCTCCGCCCAAAACAACCTTGACGAGTGCGGATTGCCAAAGATACATTCAAAGGTTGCAGAGCGCAGTGTGGATGATGCTCTGGGACTCCAGGGGTTCTGGTCCTGACTTGCTCAAAACAGAGCCGGCTAAGGCCAGAGAAGTCACCTTCTTGCACTTCAGCCTGTCATGTCCAGGGCGATGGGCTGTGTATGTCATTAGGAGAAGAACTCCCTTCCAAAGCAGGTATGTCATGTCTCTTGACGAAGTATTTCAAAAGATATAAAAACTAGCAAATCCACAAAATAGCAGCCTTGCCTGTGACCTCGGCTGCAGTCAGCGACGAGCCTGCCAGAGGAGGGGGGTGGTTGCGAAGATGATTGGCAGTGGGTGATTGACATGTGTTCTGTTGTTAGAGGCTCAGGCTTGAATTGGAAACTGAAGCTTAGTGACCTACATCGCAAGTATGCCAAAGACACCCAAAGACACCCAAGTTCTGACATGAAACATATGTATTATGTGACATGTGTTTTTTCTCTGGTGCTCGTATGATTATAGCAAAGTCTGCCTACCGTGTTGGCTTTGACATGATAAGCCGAACTCTCGGCGAGAGCCTCGCAAAGCCGCTCATTTGCCCTCAACCCTCGCACCGCGGCCTGAAGTTCCAAACCTGCAAACGAAGCAACTGTCGAGCACCAAATCCTTATAAGGACTCACGCCCCATAGGCCAAGACAGCGAACCTGCACTAAAGACATCTTAGGATTCTGTACATGTCGGCATTCCGCATAAGGTGCAGTGGCGGGGGCCTGTGGACACAGGCACCTTGTTGGCCGGCATTGGGGCTCTTTGTGGGGTTGTGGGTTCGACATAGTTGCACTGCAAGTTCAGGATTTCTGGGCACGTGTGACAGTGTAGATGGGCCCTCGGGACAAACGTCCGCTCGCCGCCAGGCTACTAGCTAAGCAAGGGTGCATGTCTGCCTTGAGGGCATCAAAGCTCCGATCTGCATTTGCAGAAGTGCTGCAGCCAGCTGACCGGTGTTTTCCGACTTGTTGAAACCATTTGAAACCTTGCCCGTGCCTGTCCGAGCCTACCTCCATGTTCGGTATATGAAGGTGCCCTGAAGGCTCAGTTGCACCAATAGCACAAAGCCCTTCTCCGGCAAGCCGCGTCGGGCAAATCTCGTAGCTGCTCGGCGACCTTAGTTTTCCGGCTGCTCTCTCTCTCCGAGCCTTGCAAAGACTTCTCTGTAATGAGCGAAGCCCATGAGATTCCGGAACGCAAGCTCCGAAGCAAGTCTCGCAAGCTCCTGCGACCCATGGGTCTACGACACGGAGAATTGGTTTTTGCATGGGCTGTGCAATTGGAGGAAGGAAGCTGTTGCTGTCGGGATATTGGCTCCCTAAGCCACAAGTTGATGCCCAGTGCCAGGGCTGCCAAGAAGCATAGCTGCAAACCGTGTCAACGGTCAGTAAGGCCGTCATAGCATAGCAAGGTTACGGCGACCCCGAGTACTAAAAGGTAAGAGTTCAAGGGTTGGGCAGATGCTCTTGGGTTGAACGAAGGCTGGTGTCAGTGTTGATGCCGCGGTGCAACTATGCTACCTATGCTGACTCCTTGTGCGTGTGTGTCTGGGGATGTGATTTAGAACGTTTGCGGATTAGACTTGAGCCTGAGGTGTCCCCATATTGGTTTACCAATGTCATGTGTGCAGGTGCTGCAGGGGTGAGCAAGAGTGTTTGCTGGCTACGGGATCCTTCAATTTCACATAGATTGAATGCCATGTGGGGATCTTTGACGGAAGGCAGCAGAGGTTCATCCAAATAACATCACAACCTTGGTTACCGTCTGCATCCCCACCCAAAGCTGGACGTGAGACCCCGCGAAACAAGACAAGTCTTCCCCCCCAATTGCTGGGTACCCCCGCAAACCCGAGAAAAAAATCTCAAAGGGCCCTGAAGATCTGTGAAGAAAACATAAGAAAACCTGTGCGAACGAGAGATTAAGCGATGGAAGGATGCAGAATCAGCTCATTACTTCATTAGTAAATGTGAAGCGCACTTAAAAGGGGGGGCTTCTCAGTACCAGTGCTGGGCACAAAAGCAGGGCAAAGAGAGTAGGAGTCAGAGGACTCAGAGGACATTCTCACTAGCTTCGCCTCGGGGCGGGGGCAGCGTTGAGGGCCAGCACGGAGGGACCTGCTCAGTACCCCCTCAACTATGTGTGTGTGTGAGAGAACATGTATATCTATAAATATATATATATATATACATAAACATAAAAAATATCTATATATAATGCATACAATGCACTGGCAAGCCTGGACTGCCTCAAAAACAGGTTCCGGCGACACGAGGTGTCAACTATGGGTAAAGCAAAGCAGAGGCACCTTGGATGAATCCACTCTGCGCTTGCGGGTCGGTCCCATCAAGGCCCAACTAACGAGGGAAGCCGCCGACTCGGCTGAAGTATGCTGAAGTCCTGCCTGGCTGTGCCGACTGCGCAGACACCTCGTGAGCTCGGGGGGCTTGACCTTGAGCCTTCAAGGCTTACAAGATCCCCAGAAGCCCAAACGATGCAGCCCCAGTGAGGATATCCAAGTTTTTGAAGCACAACTCGCCCCGGGAAACCCCTTCGAAACCACGCCTACAATGCCGGACAAGCCCCAAGCCTTTCTTGAACTGGGACTTGATTCACTGACTTGATTCACCCTGAAAACTAAACCCGGTCCAGACCCAAGAAGCGCTTCGCCCACGCGAGCAAACGACGACATCCTTGATTCAAAGTTCAGGTGAAAATCTCTTACCAAGTCCCTGAACCAGAACCCCAACACTCACCCACAGAATCCACAAAAGAAATAAACGAAGTGGACCCAGAAGTGCAAGCGCTGGGTGCCAGGACCACTTGACTGCCCTCGGCCGCGGCCGTGACCTCCCGCCTAGAGGCGTGTGTGTGTGTGTGTGTGTGTGTGTGTGTGTGTGTGTGTGTGTGTGTGTGTGTGTGTGTGTGTGTGTGCGTGCGTGTGTGCGTGCGCGTGTGTGTGTGTGTGTGTGTGTGTGTGTGTGTGTGTGTGTGTGTGTTGTGTGTGTGTGTGTGTGTGTGTGTGTGTGTGTGTGTGTGTGTGTGTGTGTGTTGTGTGTGTTGTGTGTGTTGTGTGTGTTGTGTGTGTTGTGTGTGTTGTGTGTTTGTGTGTGTGTTGTGTGTGTGTGTTGTGTGTTGTGTGTTGTGTGTTGTGGGTTGTGGGTTGTGTGTTGTGTGTTGTGTGTTGTGTGTTGTGTGTTGTGTGTTGTGTGTTGTGTGTTGTGTGTTGTGCATGTGTTGTGTGTTGTGTGTTGTGAGTTGTGTGTTGTGGTGTTGTGTGTTGTGGTGTGTTGTGTGTGTTGTGTTTGTGTGTGTGTGTGTGTTGTGTGTGTTGTCTGTGTTGTGTGTGTTGTGTGTGTTGTGTGTGTTGTGTGTGTTGTGTGTGTTGTGTGTGTTGTGTGTGTTGTGTGTGTTGTGTGTGTTGTGTGTGTTGTGTGTGTGGTGTGTGTGTTGTGTGTGTTGTGTGTGTTGTGTGTGTTGTGTGTGTTGTGTGTGTTGTGTGTGTTGTGTGTGTGTTGTGTGTGTGTGTTGTGTGTGTGTGTTGGGTGTGGTTGTGTGTGTGTGTTGGGTGTGTGTGTGTGTGTGTTGGGTGTGTGTGTTGTGTGTGTGTGTGTGTGTGTGTGTGTGTGGTGTGTGTGTGTTTGTGTGTGGTTGTGTGTGTTGTGTGTGTGTGTGTGTGTGTGTTGTGGTGTGTGTGTGTGTGTGTGTGGTGTGTGTGTGTGTGTGTTTGTGTGTGTTGTGGTGTGTGGTGTGTGGTGTGTGCGTGTTGTTGTGTGTTGTGTGTGTTGTGTGTGTTGTGTGTGTGTGTGTGTGTGTGTGTGTGTGGTGGTGTGTGTGTGTGTGTGTTTGTGTGTGTGTGTGTGCGTGTGTGTGTGGTGTGTGTGTGGCGTGTGTGTGTTGTGTGTGGTGTGTGTCGTTGTGCGTGTGTTGTGTGGTTCGTGTGTGTGTGCGGTGTGTGTGTGCGTGTCGTGCGTGTTGTGCGTGCGTGCGTGCGTGCGTCGTGCGTGCCGTGCGTGCGTGCGTGCGTGCGTGCGTGCGTGCGTGCGTGCGTGCGTGCGTGCGTGCGTGCGTGCGTGCGTGCGTGCGTGCGTGCGTGCGTGCGTGAGTGCGTGCGTGCGTGCGTGCGTGCGTGCGTGCGTGCGTGCGTGCGTGCGTGCGTGCGTGCGTGCGTGCGTGCGTGCGTGCGTGCGTGCGTGCGTGCGTGCGTGCGTGCGTGCGTGCGTGCGTGCGTGCGTGCGTGCGTGCGGGCGTGCGTGCGTGCGTGCGTGCGTGCGTGCGTGCGTGCGTGCGTGCGTGCGTGCGTGCGTGCGTGCGTGCGTGCGTGCGTGTGTTGTGTGTGTGTTGTGTGGGTTGTGTGTGTTGTGTGTGTTGTGTGTGTGTTGTGGGTGTTGTGTGTGTTGTGGGTGTTGTGTGTGTGTGTGTGTTGTGTGTGTTGTGTGTGTTGTGTGTGTTGTGGGTGTTGTGTGTGTTGTGGGCGTTGTGTGTGTGTGTGTTGTGTGTGTGTGTGTGTGTGTTGTGCGTGTGTGTGTGTGTGTGTTGTGTGTGTTGTGTGTGTTGTGTGTTGTGTGTGTTGCGTTGTGTGTGCGCCCTGTCCCCCTGTCCCCCTGTCCCCCTGTCCCCCTGTCCCCCCCCTGTCCCTCCCCTCTCCCTCTCCCTCCCCCTCTCTCGCTCAAGCTTTCGCTCTCTCTCTCTCTCTCTCCCACTTAAAGCACTGGGATCCGGTCCACACGGGGCCCTTCGAAAAGTCCGCCTCCCGCCACTGCCGCCGCTTACACTTACGGGTTGCCCATCGGGCTTGGGGGGATCGAGGCTTTGAGGGCTTCTTGGGGGGTGCGAAAGTCAGGAGCCACAGGTAGTTCATGGTGGTTCATAAGGACTGCGGGAGCAGAGTCTTGGGTGCAACGGGAGGTGCAGCGCTGCTGGGGGTTGTTCCTTTGTAAGGGGTTCCGCATGGTTCCAATGAGCACGTGCAACAGCATCCGTGATCTGTTTATATAAGCCCTGCAAACCACATCATCTCCCCCCAAAGCTGTGAACTTCTGACGCACCTGGAATCACTTGGCTCCTGGCTCCGGCTTTGAGGCCTGAGCCTTTAGTGTTTAAAGTGGTAGGCAGTGATCTCGCCTCTGCATGAGGCTGTGCCACGAAAGATGAGCTCTCCCATGTCCTGGACAAGCAGCTTAACATGTCAGAACGTGGTGGTATTCATCGATCGACAGGAGTTGCAACCTTAATCGCTTTCCCACTGGTGCAAGGGAAATGCATGTCGCGGTCGATTCCCCAGAGACTCCAATATCCCTTAAGGGGGGCAATCCATAAACTGCAATAGGGATCCATCCGACAATGACTGAAGGAATATTCTTATTCATAACTAAGAGATATTGGGGTCTCTGGGTTGTTTGGGGTTCAGGAGCTCCACGGCTGAACGGCTGGGCCTGGAGCCTGGAGCTTCAGCCCTGGGGTCGTAAGCTCGAAAGTCACTGAAGCTCCCAAGCTCACGAGGCGGAGTTGGTTCGGCAAATCTTCGGGACAGCCTGTCGGTCAAATGAGGTAGATAGGTGTCAGGTTTGGCTACAGAAAGAGCCTCGCGTTCGCGTGCAGTCCTGGAGGGCTCCTGGTAAGTAGCGAAGTGTCGCGACTCGTCCCTGGCAGGCGGTGGGCACTTGGCACCCGAGTGACATACGTACCAAGAGCTCTACAGTACACACTTTGACCTTAACCAATGCAGGCCATGTTAACGCATGCACTGCAGGTACCTGAAAGTTCTTAGAGCTCGCCTTGGGAGTAGCCTTCGGGTGCGGCTTTGGCATTGAGAGCGGGCTGTGTTGAGGTCAGGGAGAGCGTGGATAGGTGATTTCCATGACTCAACCTGGAAGGGGTTGGGGAATCATGGTCGTGACAGGCTGCCTGGGCAACGCGGTGGAGATCCTCTGCTCGGACAGCGGCACACCGGTAAATACCGGTACCGGCCTCGCGATGATTTCTCCGCAGCTTCGGGCTTTTCTTAGGCCTCTTCGAGGGGCTTTGAGCGTTTCCAGTTAAGTTTAGGTTTTATGTTCACTATACAATGAGGAAGTATGCACATCGACAGTGGTATAAGCATGCTTGAGACCTTTCACCCACAGCTGGTCAGGCCGAAGAACGGCGTGGTTGCAGGCATAGAGCGGCAGGGCGCAGCATACCTTGCCGAGGAGATCACGATAGCCTATGTCACTATGTCGTAAGCCACGGCTGACTATGACAATACTCATGGGGCGCGATTAAGTGCAGGGGTGGGGTCGACATTTCCCAGCCTACCAGCTCGAAATGCTTATCAAAGGATGCTGGTATCCATGACTGACGCTGTCTAAAATTAAGTCCGCATGTAGCCAAGCAGCCCTTCTTAACATTCAAAGAGCACTTA